CTCAAATTTTTTTTTTTTTTTTTTTTTTCTGTATTTACACTCCAACACGTTTTTACCCCTTTCACCAATATTTTTATTATTATACCGCGTAACGTTAATAATAATTTTTTTTTTTCATCTTACAGATATATATCAATCGACCGGGGAAGTTTTGCTGGTGGACATCTCGAATCCAGATTTTGAAAAATCATGTCCAGCTATACGGTAGATACATTTTTTGTGACACCACCACCCCCCCTCCCCCCCATCCCCCCGTAAAAATTTTTTTATCATATAATTTGTATATCTTGTATATACAATTTTTTTACTGTATTATATACATATATATATATATATATATATGTAGGATATATTTGACATATATTTTAGTGTGTTTTACGAAGAGGCGTATGTCCTATGCACGTCCGTATTCTACGCGTGCATATCCACTGGAACAGTCATGGCGGTTTAATGACGTCGTCGTGTATAAATATTGTGAGGAAAATATTCGCAAGAAAAAATATTCGCGCTGCGAACGTGACGCTTTCGTGGGGGAGGGGATTGCGCCGGGATATATGGAAATGTAGATAAATATATACGGAACGACATCAATACCGAGAACGTTATTACATATCAAACTGAGCAGCGAGCGCAGCCGTTCGTTTGGATTATGATTATTGTTTATGGTTGCTAATAAAGGGAAGATAAACATTATACGTATGGTGCCCGGGGTCAATCTGGATTGGGGGCAGCGAATCGTAAGGTTCGTTCTTCGGGGTTAATAAAATTGACCTCGACGCCGTTGTAACCTCAGGACCCGTAAGTTTATCGTTAATAATCAGGACGTAAATTCAACCCATGTATGTTGATTTTATATTTTATTTTTTTTATTTTTTCCATAAAGACCCAAGGGGGTTGATCCCTGAGTATAAATTGTCGGAGGTCTCGAGTGGGTTCAAAAAAAAAAGGATAATAATATTGATTGCCCTAATAAATTCCAAGCGAGATACGTCCAACCCTTAAACTCACAGTAACCAAGTATCGCCCTTAACAAGCGATTAATTTTTTAAGGTACGTACATACGTGAAAGTATTTCATTGGCTGTTGCTGGCCGGTATAAATAAATGCTCGAAGCTTAATGCTACCCTTCCATTCAACCCTCGTACCACCTTTATTAGGTATCTACTCGAAAAAGCGCGCTGGGAACAGATCAAAGTGGAATACGAAAAAGGGGGCATTAAAATGTTAGGGAATTTTTTTGGTGATCCGGTACCCTACCCCCGTTTATTTTTCCTCCGCCCCTGGTCGCCCCGTGTACCCACACGCGATGCTTCGTTAATGGTCAAGTTTTTATCTAAAGCTCCGCAAGCTCCATGGGATAGAGAGCTTTATCTTTGTATTGTGTTTTTTTTTTCCACCCACCTTCCCTTCGTCTCTCGTACGTTTTATACGTACGGAACATAACCTCCTCCCGAATATCTCCGAAGTCATACGGAAACTCACGATCCTCGAGTAGTCGAGCCCGAACGTCCTATAGACGCGAAGGGGTTAAAGGTTTTGGATCTTCGGCTGAAAGCTCAATGTCCGAGATAAGTGAGGAATTACAGATCAGGGAGTGCCAATAAAAAGCTGTCGATATAAAGCTTTTTTTTCTAAAAGTGGAAAAAAATTTATCCAGAGCTTTAACGACTCCTCGCGACACTCGCGTCGGATAGGTCAGCAGGTATTTTTCGTTTTGGTCGATGCTTTATATCACTTTTGACATTTTTTTTAATCAAGAGATTTTCTGCTTTTACTTTTTTTTTCCTCCCCTTTTTCTCCGTTTTTCAGATATACACTTTCGCAAGCTTGCAATTATACTATTTTACACGTTTGGGGCGCTTTGATTTTCCTCGGGCACAAATTTTTTCCTATTTGCATTAAATCAGTGGCCGATCGAGTTAACCACTGCTTTTTTGCCTTCGCTCTCTCTCTCTCTCCCCCTCTCTCTCATTCGTGTATCTTTGTCTGTCGTATCGTTCTGTATCCATCCTTGTCTCTCCCATTCAGTCCAATGGCGTTTTGTAACATCAGCATACTGATTGAACTTGAGCTGAAGTATCGGCGTTGCCCTTCTCCGTTCCAATTACTTTGCAAATGCCGTAATTGAAATCCTGGAAATACGAAACCAACCCCTATGTAATTTCTCCCGTTGACGTTCAATGCCCATTGCTGATTACCACTGTGTATATATATACTGTGACGTATGCCGTCCATCGGTGTCGCCTACAAATAATCCGTGGCTGCTCCCAACGTGCTGTGATCGAAGAAAAGATCCGAAGATCTAATTGTTGGGCGCCAGGTGCGGCTTACCCGCACCGCCATCCCTCACCTCAGTAGGATACCGTTCCGTTTATTACCATCAAATAAACGGCGGATTTTACAATACAAATCCGGTCGCGTACAGTGTGTCCTCCAACGGCGGCTCCCGACTATTCCGAGTCGTGATTTCTAGCCTGCCCCAGACCTGTCCCTATCTCGGTGTCCCTACCGAGTCCGGGAATCCCCTCGCGGCGCGATTCGCGATCCTAACAGGTCTCGTTGGAGACGAGCCTTTCCTTCCTCGGGAGTGTGCCCTCTGACGTCGGTAGCCACCTGAGGCATCCGTGTGTCGGCACCACTCCCGCTCGGCTATCCTCTCGCGCAAGATATTCTCTAAATAAGACCCCCCTCGCGGTACTTACCGAGAACTGGCTGTCCCATCAGTCCCGTACCAAATCCAAAACGTGGTGGCCGTGCCCCTTCCGCCTATCCCCGTGGTGCCGCATCCCGGCTCCACGAGGGTGTCCATCAAACACTCGGATTTTCACACACTCGGCCACGCACTGGCACTGGACCATACAAAAAGACCCGGGAGCCATGGTTCTCTGCGAGAGATCCCGATAATAGCAATCCGCGATTATCCGATAGCTCCGCTATCGCCCGAGCACGGAAGAAGGACTCATTTTTCGCGGTCCGCCGGACACCCATGTCCTTACACACGGACTTCTCGCGACACACTCTCTTTATCCTACCTACCGCTCTTCGCGGTAGGTCAAGAATCAAAACAAATCTCCTCTCCGGCACCCTCCCCGCGGACCCGCAAACCGTAGCCGGTCAAATTTCCCGGGGTACCGGCAGTGCGTCCTAGCGGTTGAGCACCCCTTGCGTGCGGGCTCTCGACCCAAAAGGGCCCCGTGCCTCCGCCGCCAGTCCACTACTTTCCCCCGTTCCCTCCTCCCGAACCACGGACCAACGAACTCCTTGGAGATGGAGGCTGGAGGCACTGCCGTGCTGTGGGCAGCGCGCGGAGGTGCGGGGCTTTTGTAATGTGTCGTCCTGACGCCACGTTACAATATATATATGTGTGGATGCTCGTATCATTTCGTAACAGTTTGACATTTGCAGTTTGCGATGTTTACTTCATTCAGGCCGCAGGCCTGTCGCGCATGCGCCGAAACGAATTCTCCAAAATAATTTAAAAATTTATTTTCCATCCTTTTACATTTACAAAGTAATCCCAATCCCTCCAGTTGACTTTAACCCGCGAAACATGGACACCAACCAGTCAAAGGTGTCAACGAGAAATTCCCCACTTATTGAAAAGTCGAGCGAAGGTACATTTTTTTTGGAAAAGAAAATTTTTTCCCCACATTTTTCGTATCCAAGCATGAATTTCGTTTGACGGATCTCCAGTGAATTTTTCATATTTTTCTTTTTCCACTTCCACGTAACTAACCCTGAATTCCCTAATTTATTTGAACTTTTCGTGAAGTCGAAAATTGACGCATCTCGACTTCCGGGTACACGCAGTATGTTACCAGTATCGCGTAAACGGCGACACAGATCCAAGATTAAGAAGCGCATTGAATATTCGCTAATGTTAATTTTTTAAGCGACCAAAATAGTGAATTTTTTTTTATATTCATCAGGAGTCGTACCCATCGCGAAATCCTGGTGCGAATTTTTTTTTTCAAAATTTGCCGTTACGATCAGCTTCAATTTCCGTTGATAATTTGGACGATGCACGTGTATATATATTTTTTTTACAAAACACCCTCTAGACTCGTCCAAAACAAGTGACAGATACGTACCACGTGTCTCTTTGACAGTTCGGTTCACATGCGCGACTGTTTAAACTTTTCACCGTGAAAGCATTTATTTTTCTACAGCCCTCCACGGCCCCGTCCTAACAACTTTTCCCACTGTGTCTGTAAATTCCTCGACAACGCCGGTACATGTACTCTATAAAAATTTTCAGACGTGCAATTTACTCGAGTGATAAGTCTCGGACGTGGAGTGAGGTCTTAAAGAGATGCACACCGAGTAGCTTCGCTATGATGCACCGAGGGATGCAGGAAGACGGGAAAAGGTGCGCGGGAAGATATTTTACTGGTTGTGTAGTTCTTGGAGCGTCGCGACGTATAAATTCGCCAAAGAGGCTTTTCCTCCTTTTAAAGACTTATATACATATATATACAGGGTGTCCCAGAACTACTTTTGGACCGGAAAGTGGGCGATGGCTGGAGGTGCCCTGAGTACCCTCCCGCAAACCGTTTGCCAAAATTCGCTATAGTTTTTAAATGAGAAGCATTTAAGTGCGACCAATCAGAATGAAGGATTTCCGCGGATTCATTCGCGGATGCCAAAGATTGCTGCTTTGCAATAGCTTCCCACAAATTCCGCGCTTAGCAATTGTTTCATAGCCCGAGCGAGCGTCATAGGTTTCGTTGACAAACTCCCAATATGGGCATGGGCGTGACTTAGGCTGGCGCAGCAGCTACACGTGCAACGCGCGATCGGCAATTGTTTCGGGATATGCATTCAGCCAGACAAAAACCGGTACACGGTGTCCAAAACGTCATGCACTGAAAATACCGATTCTTGGGACGAAAAAAAGGGATACGTGTCTTTGCGTTTCGCTCCTAATCTATTTTCCTATTTACGTATTTTTTACAGTCTCCAGAATCGATGAGTACTCTATAACTTTGAAATCAGCAATCGCGATGTCTTGGAAATTCGATACGATAAGACGAAAAAATAATACTTCTATGCTTAGTTTTCAATTCATTTTAAATTTAATCCATCAGTCCCACCACCCACCCTCCCGACTCCCTCTTACTTTAATAATCTGTTTTCCTCCGGACTGCTATAAATTTCAGTGCATGACGTTTTGGACACCGTGTACCGGTTTTTGTCGGGCTGAATGCATATCGCGAAACAATTGCCGATCGCGCGTTGCACGTGTAGCTGCTGCGCCAGCCTAAGTCACGCCCATGCCCATATTGGGAGTTTGTCAACGAAACCTATGACGCTCGCTCGGGCTATGAAACAATTGCTAAGCGCGGAATTTGTGGGAAGCTATTGCAAAGCAGCAATCTTTGGCATCCGCGAATGAATCCGCGGAAATCCTTCATTCTGATTGGTCGCACTTAAATGCTTCTCATTTAAAAACTATAGCGAATTTTGGCAAACGGTTTGCGGGAGGGTACTCAGGGCACCTCCAGCCATCGCCCACTTTCCGGTCCAAAAGTAGTTCTGGGACACCCTGTATATTCTTTTCATATACTTGTTTCAGAAAAAACAAATTCATAGTTAAACGTCACCGTTCCAAAACACTGGTTAAACACGACAATTTGATTTTCTCTCCTGCATCTATGCGTCGATGCACCTGCTGTCTCTCTTACTCCATCTGTCTCTATCACTATAGCTATTCCTAGTTTCACCAAGTTGCACGAGGGTTCAGACTGTGAATGTCGTTCCGTTCAGCCTGACATTGTTAGGTTGGTACCTGGAAATGCAACTTCCTCTGCTTGCATAGAGAAACTCCAGTAAGCATATTTCGCCTGCGGCAAGAGTCCTCGTGGAATTCACCCTTTATGGATAAGGAATTTAAGTTGGTTAAGTCATATATACGTTGTGCTATCCGAAGGTGGTTCTAGCATGGGAATTAAGATAAATCAAATGGACTTAACCATATTCAGGTGGTGCGATAGACTTGAACGGCCATATATATAGATTTCGTATACTCACCGGATGGACTGACGCGCTGAAAGAATTTAGATTCGAATGACAATTTTTTCTTTCGACAATCTTCCAATCCCTCACTTTTATTCACCAGCGCGAAGTTCGTGCTGGGGATGAAATCCAAGTGGCGAATCTCTTTGCTTTCGTTTTTCTTGTACGCTTTACATGCAGATACACATCGCGTACTCGAGCACGTGCATGCCCCTTGCTTTTACGACTAGAAAGGACAAAGGGAGCTTGCAGCGGAAGCTGCGTATTTCCCCCTCGGCGGATGCACTAATTGGCCTTTTTTCCCCCTTTTTTTTTTTAACATTGCAACAATCCTCAAAGGGACGGAAGGAAGAACCGATGCTGTAATTCCGTGAGGTATATTCCTTTTTTTAGTCTATTTCACCGTCACCAGATTCAAGCAACGCGATAACGTTATGTTCTACGTTTTCGGTGACGTCACTATTATCAGTTACCAACGGAGTGAAAAATAATGTCGGTAAGTGAAAGTTTAGAAAAAATTTTTTTTTTTTTCATTTTCGTTATTAGGGCGAAAAAATTGTTAGGGAGATGAGAAAGGAAAAAAATTTTTATCATACCGAAAAATTGTTCGCGAGTCTTTTTGAATTATTATAAATCAGCGTCGAGGCTCGCGGGAAGCTTCTTTCTTGGGCTACGGAATCGAGGGTTCAATTCAGGTGGAATCGTCGTGCCAGTTGGTTTATCCAACTGCTTCAATTCAACTGGTCCGGAGTGTATCTACATAGGCTCCTCTATTCTTACTTTTACTGAAGATTCCTGATGCTCCTATACTGCCTGCTGCTGCTGCTGCTGCTGCTGCCATCTTCATTTGACTAACCTGCATCTCGTATTTCGCTTGAGCCTTTCCTGCGACTTTTCTTTTAACTGGATTTTCATCTTACTCTTTTTTCTTTCATCTCATTCTTCTTATCTCTCTTATCCTGACCTCGTCGTGATTACGCGACACGGAGCCCTCTTTTCTTCTCGTGACTGACTAGTGCCATAGAATTATCGGTAACAAGGATCGTCAGTGCTGCTGCTGCTACCGGGAATTTCTATTCGTTCGCAGATAGCGATTAAAGAATTCCAAGGCGTTTCCTCTTCATAAAAACTCCTCGTAGTCGCTGCTCGCGAAGTCACGTTGCAGTGGATCTTTCGCCAGTTTAAAAAAAAAAAAGAAAAAAAAACAGCGCAGAGAAAAAGGAAGGAAAAAAAATGGATTCTACGTAATATCGTAGTCTTACTTATCATCGTGAAACATGATTAATTTTCCAACCCCTTAAGTAAGTGCTTTTTTTTTGCGATTTTCCCACGTATGCCGGTTGCTTGGTCGATACGTGGGAATTTGTTGGTCTTGACAGTTGGGATTTAAAAAAAATTAGGGGATGAAAAATAATTTGGCCCATCCCCCCTTAAAAAACCCCCAAACGAACGCATTTTACAAATTGCAAATATTCGTTTACCCGATTAGCCCTGACCTCGAAAATTATACAATCTTGACGAGAATTCGGGTAAAAACTGTTTTACCGACCGAGAAATCGAATTTCTAATTACTTTGCGAACGCATAATACGACCGTGTACAAAGTACACGGAATCCCATTTATCCGGATCGTTATCACTCTGCGGGCTAAGGCCAGCGCCTACCGTCCCTCTCCTCAATTCCACTTTGTATGACCAACGAAGGAGCTAATTTCGCTTTTCACTTTATTCAGTTTCTCATCACACCCGAACCCTCCTAGCCTCCTCTGACTCGGCCCTTCGCGCTCCTTTCCCTTATTCATTTCACTTATCCCGTATTCTTCTTCCCTTCCAGCCGGAACCCACCCTGAAGCCAGCCGCTGATTTCAATGCCGCCGAGGATGGCGTCGCTCTTCGCACCGCGATGAAGGGTTTCGGCACCGACGAACAGGCGATCATCGACATCCTGACGGCACGGAGCAACGAGCAGAGACAGCGTATATCAAATTTCTTCACTCAGGAATACGGCAGGGTAAGCTTGACATTTGAATTTCCCGCCACTACGATGCGTTCGATTGCCAGTGACATTCAGGTCGTTCAAAAGTGCATGCATCGCGCGTTCGATTATTACAGTAATCATGGATCGGATCGTCAATTTGTTCTTTTCATCAACGTTCACTAAACGCATAATTTATGTCTAACACGTGAAAAATTCATATGAAACATCAACAGCAAATGTTGGCTGTAATTGAAAATTCATGAATATACCGGAAATCCATATGCGGCCGGATACTGTCATACCGTACTGACTTTTCCGACATTACTGCCTACGATCTACGGTTGCGTCATAACGCGCAGTCGGCATCGGTATGTACAATATACAGGGTGTTTCTTAAGCCCCGGACAGAAGACTATATATATATATATATATATATATACCCTTAGATAACAAAATTATTTATAATCTCATACAACCCCCCCCCTGCCTCTCAAAAAATTATCCCCGAGACCTCAACGTTCATACCGCGAAATACGTGCCCGAATTAAGCAGCCGCTTAAAGGAGTACCCACACCGAAGCCCCTACAGGCCGGGAGACGATAAACGTAAAGTCCTGACGGGGAACCCTTTGCGCGGACCCCTGAGGAAGTCTAGGCTGGAAGGGAGTTAGGGTAGGTCTTACTCGAGGGTGCGAAGGGGATGAAAAAACAATATAAAGTAGATAGTCCGAAGGGTAGCAGGTTGGCAAGGTACGCAGTAGCCGTTAAGCAGGTTAGGCGCGAGAGGGGGGGGCGGAGGGGAGGGGGGGATGATTCTTATGAGAATTCCAAGGGTGCCATAGTGAACGGAGAAGAGTCCGCTTGTCAAGGGGTTGAGAATGGGAATCATCGAGAGCGGATATGCCGCTGATGAGACTTAGGGGTGATTTTCGGGAGAGCCTGATACTTGGGCCGGGCACAGACTTATGATCCTTTTCAGGGGGGTGGTTGCGCCGAGGGCTGAGTTTTTGCCCGGTATTAAGGACACGACCGCTTATGCCACCAGTCACGACGTGGCGCAACCCCTCGGGTGTAGTAACCACTAAATAACCAGCCCTCGCCCCAATCCTTTTCCTCCCCCCCCCGTCCTCCATCGTACCGTCGCACCCAACTTTTCCTCCAGAACTGCCCGTATGTATGCGTATACGTGGTCGCATGGCCGCAGGGATATTTGTTGGCCAATCTCATACACCGAGGAACCCCCTCTGACGTAGGGACACGCACTTATCCACCAGCTTCACCGATATTATCAGCCCCTACTTTTCGACACCCTTTATACACGTCGTTTTATTAATATATTTATATTTTTATATGGATTAATACGTATATGTATATGCAGGGTCATTCGGGCCCAAAAACACCACCTGAAGTTAACCTGTCCTTTCGAATTATACGATAGACACCAACTTCGGGTCGTGCGGTTGTACTGAATGACCACCCTGTATGTAATTTTGAGAGTATATATATATATATATATATAATTGGTCAGTTTCCCGCTCCATCCACTTCCTCCCCTCCCGCCTCCTGGTCCTCCCGAACAGACGTGACTATCGCGCCGGCATGTTTGCAGGGGAAATAACGTGGCGCGACCTTTCGGTAACGTTTCGAGAAAGACGTTTGAATAAATTACAGCTGACGTCCTGCCGTCTATAAATCTCTCGGCGCTCCGACACGCAGAGAGATACGTTTCCGTCTTTTCTGCTTTCGCACGAGAAAATTCTTACCGTGCATGGAAATTTGCGCCCAGACGAATCGGAAGGAGGATTGGCTGTCGGATACATTTTCTTTTTACTTCAAATTTGGTTTTCTGTTTTTTTTTTTGGGTCGTTAAAATTTTCCCTGCGCTTCGGTAACGTTCGTTCGCGCGTTCATCCAGTCGCGAGACTCGCGACGCTCTTCCGTTCAAATTTGCCTGTGGCTTTCGCGAGGGTTGTAAATTAGCGTGGATTCGCGGACATTGTAAAACGCCGTACGCGCGATGAAGACAGTAGGTAGTCGCGGCTGGGTGGGTGCGAGAGAGATGGAAGACGTGATGGGGATCGGTGGCGCAAGGGATAGGTCGGAGAGAGAAACGGGTCGTTAACACTCGCGGAGTTTAAACCTTTCCGCCCATTAATACGAACTTTTGCACCGGAGAAAACTTTGCACTTGGCTGCTCGAGTAACGCCCTTGCGTCGCGCTATAAAATGCAACGGATATGGATCGTTTACTTTGTACGCTCGGTCTTGCATCTGCAAAGTCTACGTAGACGCGTTAACATCTCCGTCCTTGTATGCCTCGATTCCTGGTCGTTCGGTAATGCACGGCTCTGACGAAAAACTGGATCTTGGGGTTTTTAAGAAAAAAAAAAAAGCATTTAATAACGTCTATTTCGGTCTCGGATGATATTTCCTTGGAGAGAACAAAAAAAAATGGTATCGAGCAAGTATTAAATTAAAATTCAACTTTGACGTGAGACCCTAAACGTAGACGTAAGGTTCTTGTCGATTGTCAATTATTTACGAGTCTTAGGAAACTTTTGACATCGCGAAATAATACGTAATCTTCGAAGCATTGTCAAAAGATTCGCAATACTGTACCATCTTAATTACCTGATCGACGAAGTTTAATTCGGATAAAAATTAAGTTTTGTAGTTTACGATCGGGTTCGCGTTATATAATTATATGCCAGGAATGTATGTCGGTACACGTTTATTAATTAGGACTTATTGATAATGAATAACAGCGCCGGGACGTCGAGTTCGTTATTCAGGGGTCTCCTATACGCCGGTATGTCATAAGGAGATGGCACCCAATCTTGAGGCTTACCTAACCACAAATAATGACACTTGCGTTAACAATATTTTATGAACTCCTACATGAAATTTCAAATTGTCTCTTAAATTGGCATTAACGTCTTTTCAAAGTGGCTTCAATTCTCTCGTGTCCCTTAATAATACAATACATTCGGTATGAAACGTGCACAAAGGGACAATGCCCATGAGTTTACTCGTCCGTGCCACTTGACATTGACTGGTGAAGTCGAGGCTTAGAATAATATTCCCCAAGCAAAGACTCCTCCTCCTCCTCCTCCCTGCCCCTTACACCACAAGACGCACTTCCCTTTATTATACAACATTCTCTCGTTATTATTCTCAGCAAGAAATAGAAGTGACGCTTCCCAAAAAAAGATGGCCGCTGCTCCCGTCGAGGCTTTACGAAGCGTAACTTTCCTCTAAGTACACCGAGGGATGAGAGGGTTCAGAGAACTTTCCACCCTTTCCGCCATTGAGAATATTCTAGATAGTTCTTTGTAGATCTGTGCTCCTCCACCTACGCCCCCCCCCAATCACCCTCCATTTAATCCTCTTTTCAGAAGATATTTATTTCTCCTTGCCACCCCTTACGACAACGAAGGTCAAAAACAAAAGTGCGTGTCCTTTAATTGTAATTACGTCGCGATGCTTAAGTCCAACCAAAGAGTGACAAAATAATTTAAAAAGCCAAACAAAAGTCATTGACAGTAGTTTGTTCGTAGGGCACAGATATCCACACGCCGTGTTATATAACGGTAAGACTAAGGTTATTGCGTGGGACTGTACATACAGTAAGTTTCCTGGATCTGCCAGACGCAGCAATCGAATACGGACATTCTCCGAGGTACCTACCGTTGAATTTAAGTGACTAGTTATCCTTCCGTCCTGTCCTTTGTGGCTTTTTTCTCCAGCGAGGAGTTGTGTCAGTAGTGATTAGTTATATTTTCAAGTGCGCAGAGAGACGGTTGTATTAGGTCGGTGGCTATTGTCCGTACAAGTGGTTTCATTCGGAATGCATTTTGGCCTACAGGGCTTCGTGTTGACGGTGGCGCATCAAATCCACGAAGAAATATACAGGCTCCCTCCTTCGGTGTCTGAAGAACAATTCTCGGTCGACGCGAAGCCCTTCTTCAAGTTGCCGTTTCGTCCGTTGGATGTCGCCACCCTACGTCCCTTGTCTGACGATGTGAATTTATTTTGGACGCCATTAGAGACGCGCCGGAAAGTGAATTGGCGAAGCATGTGGTGCCGCGTTATGAATATTTTATCGTGGCAAAATGATGCCTGCGGGCCGCACAAGGCGTTTGATACACATACATATACATGTATATTATATGGGCGGTTCTTATGCGATATCAGTGTCTCATGTGGATATAACGGGAACAAAAATTTCGACTGATTTATTCATTTATCGAACCGGCCGCAAACGACTGACACACGGCGGGCTCGACTTTTTCTTACGTGGTGCCACACGGGGTCCAAGTCAGGATCAACGGACACCGATTAATTATCTCTGATGCGAATTTCATATTCCACGTCACGGCCATTTCTACAGGAGAACGTGGTACTATAGGGTTGTAAATTAGGGTAATTGACGCAGGAACAGTGTCATTAATTAGGGCGAGGAAAATTACGAAATGAGTCTGGCTTACTTTGGTTATACCCAAAAAAAAACAAGGCGTCTCCTGATAATGGGAGGTAACTGGTGACTCCCCATCCTCCCTCCTTGTCTGGCATTGGAAAAAATTTGGAAAAATGCAAAGTCGCTTGATGATCCACGAGGTATTTATATTGGTAAGCTTTAAACGAAAAAACATTTTACACTATTCTTTTGTTCTTTTGCGTTACTCTTTTGTTTATTGACGTTACTATATTCGTTTACGTATCCACCGGTCACTGTTTTTGGGGGGAAATAAATGATTGGCTGTCCCCAATGGGCGAAGACTGAGGAGGATTTACCAGTTTTCACGCGCTTATTATTGGCTTACTTTATTCTTTAATAATTAATAAACTAATTAAAATTTTTGATTTTTGTTAACGCCAATATTTTTATTTTTTCACGTAGGATCTAACGGTATGTCTCTTGTCCGGGGCTCAAGTTACACCCTGTATACACACAATTTGATTGCTCAAGTCCGTTAATTGGATTAATTAATTCGTCCATAAAATGCCAATCAGTAAATTAACGATGCTCCGTATG